AACAAATTACTTCCCTTCCAACACAATTATATAATCTGAGAGTTGAAAAGCACCCTAGAGATTATTCTGTTGCCCAAAGTCCCTCCAAATTAAGGAATCTCATCTAAAACTACTCAACTCTGTGAGCAGGGAGGGATGATAATCTTTAGATTCCCCATGACACAGTGCTGCAGCCATAGTAGGCTCTTTAATACATGCTTTTGTTGTTTTTAATACATGCTTGTTAAACTGAACAAGTCTAAAATGGACATATTAATTTTCTTGTTCTACCCAGGCTTTAGCTGTATCACCCACTGAATCTGTCAGTTAAAGCTCTGCATGATTCCTCTGCTCATTAACCAGTGTTCAAAGACATTCAATAAAGGAAACTCAATGTTTCAATCCATTAAAGAAACTTCATTTTAACCGTTTAAAATTTTAAGCTCCTGGCCTGGCAAAGTGGCTCTTGCCTATAATCCCAGCACTCTGGGAGGTTGAAGTGGGAGGATCTCTCGAGCCCAGGAGTCTGACACTAGCCTGGGCAACACAGGGAGACCCTGTGATATGGTATGGCTCTGTATCCCTACCCAAATCTCATCTTGATTTGTAATCCCCACCTGTTGAGGTTGGGACCTGTAATCCCTCCCATGTGTTGAGTGAAGGAGGTAATTGGATCATGGGGGCAGTTTCCCCCATGCTGTTCTCATGATAATGAGTTCTCACAAAATCCCATGGTTTTGGTTTTGTTTTGTTTTGAGATGGAGTCTCGCTCTGTCATCCAGGCTGGAGTGCAATGGCACGATCTCGGCTCACTGCAACCTCTGCCTCCCAGGTTCAAGGGATTGTCCTGCCTCAGCCTCCTGAGTAGCTGGGATTACAGGTGCGTGCCACCGCACCCAGCTAATTTTTGTATTTTTAGTAGAGACAGGGTTTCAACATCTTGGCTAGGCTGGTCTCGAACTCCTGACCTTGTGATCCACCTGCCTCGGCCTCCCAAAGTGCTGGGATTACAGGCATAAGCCACCGCGCCCGGCCAATCTGATGGTTTTGTAAGTGGAAGTTCCTCCTTTGCTCCTCTCTCTTCTGCTGCCTTATGAAGAAGGTTCTTACTTCCCCTTTGCCTTCTGTCATGACTGTAAGCTTCCTGAGGCTTCCCCAGCCATGTAGAACTGAGTCAATTAAACCCTTCTTTATAAATTACTGAGTCTCAGGCATTTCTTTATAACAGTGTGAAAATGGACTAATACACCCTGTCTCGACATAAATTTTAAAAATCAACGAAGTGTGGTGGCTCATGCATGTAGTCCCAGCTACGCGGGAGGCTGAGATGGGAGGATCGTTTGAGCACAGGAGGCTGAGGCTGCAGTGAGCTGTGATCACACCACTGCACTCCAACCTGGTGACAGAGTGAGACCCTGTCTCAAAAAATAAATAAATAAAGGCCAGGAACTGTGGCTCATGCCTGTACTCCCAGCATTTTGGAGGCCCAAGCAGGTGAATCACCTGAGGTCAGGACTTCAAGATCAGCCTGGCTAACATGGCGAAACCCCATCTCTACTAAAAAATACAAAAATTAGCCAGGAATTGTGGCGGATACCTGCAATCCCAGCTACTCAGGAGGCTGAGGCAGGAGAACTGCTTGAACCCAGGAGGTGGAAGTTGCAGTGAGCCAGGATGGCACCACTGCACTCCAGTCTGCGCAAAAGAGTGAGCCTCTGTCTCAAAAATTAATTAATTAATTAATTAATTAATTAATTTTAAAAATTTAAAAATAAAAATTTAAGCTCCTAGAATCGCTTGAACCTGGGTGGTCGGGGTTGCAGTGAGCCGAGATTAGGCCACTGCACTCCAGTGTGGGTGACATAGCAAGACTCTTTTTTATTTTCATTAAATTTTTTTTCTTGGTGCTGTGACTCAGATGCAAGACTGACTCAAAAAAACAAACAAACCAGGCCGGGAACGGTGGCTCAAGCCTGTAATCCCAGCACTTTGGGAGGCCGAGGCGGGTGGATCACGAGGTCGAGAGATCGAGACCAACCTGGTCAACATGGTGAAACCCCGTCTCTACTAAAAATACAAAAAAAGGCCGGGCGCGGTGGCTCAAGCCTGTAATCCCAGCACTTTGGGAGGCCGAGGCGGGTGGATCACGAGGTCAAGAGATCGAGACCATCCCGGTCAACATAGTGAAACCCCGTCTCTACTAAAAAAAATACAAAAAATTAGCTGGGCATGGTGGCACATGCCTATAATCCCAGCTACTCGGGAGGCTGAGGCAGGAGAATTGCCTGAACCCAGGAGGCGGAGGTTGCGGTGAGCCGAGATCGTGCCATTGCACTCCAGCCTGGGTAACAAGAGCGAAACTCTGTCTCAAAAAAAAAAAAAAAAAAAAATACAAAAAAAAATTAGCTGGGCATGGTGGTGCGTGCCTATAATCCCAGCTACTCAGGAGGCTGAGGCAGGAGAATTGCCTGAACCCAGGAGGCGGAGGTTGCGGTGAGCCGAGATCGCGCCATTGCACTCCAGCCTGGGTAACAAGAGCGAAACTCCGTCTCAAACAAAAAAAAAAAAAAAAAAAAAAAAATTAGCTGGGCATGGTGGCGGGTGCCTGTAATCCCAGCTACTCAGGAGGCTGAGGCAGGAGAATTGCTTGAACCCAGGAGGCGGAGGTTGTGGTGAGCCAAGATGGCGCTATTGCACTCCAGCCTGGGTAACAAGAGCAAAACTCCGTCTCAAAAAAAAAAAAAAAAACAGTAAGCTCTCCTAGAAGGCAAGTCCTATGCCTCGTCTGACTTGTAAGAGGCCGTGGGACAGCCTAAACAGACAAGTAATTACACTTTCAACATTAATGTTGCTAATGTCAGTGCATAATAAAACATTTAACAGAAAACAGAAAATTAAGCCTTTGTTAGTTTGCTTATGATCTATAAAGGGCTTTCAATTTTCCAAAAATATGTTTCCTATTTCTAGTATGATTTATTATTATTATTATTTTAATTTAGAGATGGGGGTCTCTATGTTGGCCAGGTTGGTCTTGAACTCTTGGCCTCACCATCTTGGTCTCCCAAAGTGCGAGGATAACAGGTGTGAGCCACTGCGCCCAGTGTAGTGCGATTTTTTAAAAACAAATAGTCTTGCATCATTCATACAACTAAATTATACACCATAATTGGGGTGCTCACAGATTTAGGCATACTAGCAGTAAAACATGCTATTATCGTTTTCACTTAAAAGCCTGTGATACCATCTGATTTCCCATAATATGATAACGAAGAGAATAAAGCCTCTGGAGCGGTAAGCACCACCAATAACTTAACTTTACTCAAATACGTATTCCAAAGCAGTACATAATTTACAACATGGCCCCGCTTAGCTATTACAATGCATCTGTTTCAGCTGTTTTGGGGATCCTTTTTTTTTTTTTTTTTGAGACAAGAGTCTTGCTCTGTCTCCCAGGCTGGAATGCAGTGGCAGGATCTTGGTTCATTGCAGCCTCCACCTCCCAGGTTTCAGTGAATTCTCCTGCCTCAGCCTCCCAAGTAGGTGAGATTAAAGGCATGAGCCACCAGGCCCTGCCCACTGTTTTGGATTTTCAGTAGAGACAAAGTCTCACCATGTTGGCCAGGCTGGTTTCGAAATCCTGACCTCAGATGATCTGACTGCCTCAGCCTCCCGAAGTGCTGGAATTACAGGCGTGAGCCACCTTGCCCCGCCGGGCACTTTTACAATGTATGGTAGTATACAAAGCATACATTTCCAAATCTCCTTTCGTTGTTTTGCTGAAAGGGAGCACACATGGGATTCCTTAACGGCACAATTCACTGTATCTTCTTCAGGCAATAATTCGAACTCCCACTTCCTCCTAAGTACCTCTGGACAGCATGGCAATCCTCTCTTTCGCCACAGCTTCTTTTCATAACTAATGGGTCAAGTTCCTTTCCCCATTTCGACACGATGCACTATACTGCGGCCCTGCCTCCATAACCCACAGCTGAATGCCGGAATATAACAAGCTGAATTCCACTGTCCTTCATTGTTTCCAGTTTAACTGCCATTTTACCACCATGCACACAGAGAAATGCATTCCCACAGGCATCTTACGAATGTCCAAAGCAGCTATTCTTTGTGGATTTACAAAACATGTGCTTCTCTGAATTCCCTTCATCACCACAGAAACGGCTTTGGGAAGCCGAGATTTTTTTTTTTTTTTAAAGTACCCTATGTATTATGAAAAGAAACTGATTCTAAAACATTTTTATTTTTCTAGCTCATTTAATCCTAAAGGTCTTCCCGCAAGGCAGTGAAGGAACATCAGGGAAAAAAAAAATTTAAATACCGCTTTTGGTCTTCCCAATTAATATGGAACATTTTCAGCACACAAAGATGATCAAATTAAATGTCTTTTCTTCTCAGTAACCATAAGGGCTACCCAGAACACTGTAAAATAAACAGCTGGCTGTGGCTTATGCACAACGCCCTAAATCTTCCTGACACCCCCACCCCCACCCCTCGGCTTTGGGCTCAGAGACACATAATCCCTCAGCAAACCCCAAACCTGCCAATGAAGTGCACTCTTTCTCCGCCACAAAGGCCAGCCCGCGCCTCGTGCACACCAGCCTCCGCACACATGTGCCTGGCTGACAAGCGCGGAGCGGCCCTTCCTGGATCAAAGCCGTTGGCCTGGACCGAAAGCTGCACTCTTCCCAGCCCACTGCCTGCTCCCGCGGCCGCTCTCCCCGGTGACCGGCGGCCAAACCGAAGCGCTCCGGCCACAGGCCGGCCACCCCCTCCGCCCGGCGTGTCCTGTGCGGCCGCGCTCAGATCCGCTTCCCCCCCACACCCCCCCGCCCCACCGTCCTTTTTTCTTCTCCGCCGTTTTTTGCCTCAGGAAATTCAGTCGGAACTTCATTCTCCCCGAACCGAGCAGCTGGGGCACACCCTCCTCCCGCGGCCGCGCCCCCCGCGCCTTCACCCGAAGCGGCCGGAGACCCGGCGACCCCCGCCCGTCCAGCCCGGCGCCTCACCTCCTCTTCGCTCTCGCTGCGGAAACACAGGCATGCGGCCCGCTTCTTGTAGCCGTCGCCGTCGTAGGTGCGGGTCTGGTTCGACTTGAGCTTCATCATCCTCCGGGCCCGGGTGGGGGTGCGGTGCGGGTCGCGGGAGTCGAGGGGTGGGGAGCCCGCTCCGGACGGCCGCGCACGCGCGCGCCCCCGGCTCGGCCAAGGAAAGCAGGGAGGGGGAGCTTCTCCGCTACACGGCTCCGCCGCTGGCCCGCCGCGGCCGCCTCATTCCCCTCGGCCCAGATCCCGCGCCGCCGCTGCCACCGTCACGGCTGTCGTCTCCGCTGCCGCCAGGGCCGCCGCCCCCTCTGCCGCCGCCACCCCCGACGACGACTGCGCCGCCATCTTGAGCGCGCTGCGTCAGCGGCGTAAGGCCGCACCGGCCTGCGGGACGGCCGCGCGCTCGCAGCGCAGGCCGCGTTCGGGAATCGCGCCCACCCAGTCTGCGCGGCGGAAACCAGCGTCTGAAAAGAGAGGGCCGCAAGTCTCCAGGCGGCTACTACGCCTGCAGCGTAGACGTAGGACTGGTGGGACGCGCGGAGGCAGCCCAGGGAGATAGGGGTACCCGCGCAAGACGCCTAGCGGCCGGGCGGAGACCCTCCGGTCCAGCCTCGCCAGTTAGCGGATGGGGAAGTGGGGACTTAGCCAAGGTCACGCCGCGTCTTCGCGGCCGGGGATGAAGCAAGGTCATGCCACCCTCCCATGGGCCCTGGGTCGGTGTCGAAGGGGATGAGGGAGAATGTCTGGAAGAGAAAGTAGGATGCAGTTAAACGCAACGGAAGTTGCAGCCTGAGACACCTGGGATTTGGGACTGCACGGAAACAGGGCGTGGGAGGCGCGTGCACTTTGCGTTGATAGCCTGAACCTCTGGATGTCTTACGAGTTGGTGCATGTCGTCCATTACAAAGAACAATATTTATCCTGCAATCCTTTATTGATGCTAAAACCAAATGCTTCCTTTTTTTTTTTTTTTTTTTTTTTGGAGACGGAGTCTCACCCAGTCTGGAGTGCAGTGGCTCAATCTTGGCTCACTGCAACCTCCGCCTCCTGGGTTCAAGGGATTCCCTTGCCTCAGCCTCTTGAGTAGCTGGGATTACAGGCTCGTGCCACAACGTCTGGCAAATTTTTGTATTTTTAGTAGAGACCGGGTTTCACCGTGTTGGTCAGGCTGGTCTAGAACTCCTGACCTCGTGATCTGCCCCCCTCAGCCTCCCAAAGTGCTGGGATTAGAGGCGTGAGCCACCGTGTCCGGCCTGCTGCCTCTTAAGGTGAACAAGGGACAGAAAGGAAGGCGCACACGCGTGTGTGTGTGTGTGTGTATGTGTGTGTGTGTACACACATAATGTTAATCATAAAACGTCGTTTCTGGCAATAAATGAGGAGTGTGTGTTGTGGATGTCAAACAGCTTCTCCAGGAAAAGATAGAAGCTCTCCAGAAAGGAAAACTGATATATGACTTGTGAATGTTCTTAGCAGCCCAGAACTAACCTTATGCCATGCAGATGCCCTAAACATACGAAAAATCCTGTGCAGGATATGTCTGTGACTTGCTTATTAACCTTTTGGTTTTTTAAACTTTTTTATTTAATTTTTTGTTGAGTTGGCGGGGTGGGTCTCATTTTGTTGCCCAAGGTGGTCCCGAACTCCTGGCCTCAAGCTATCCACCCTCAGCCTCCCAAAGCGCTGGGATTCCTGGTGTGACCGACTTATTACCCTTTACGAATTTGCTTGTATTTAGCATAGTCAAAAAAATCTGGATTTGAAACCAAATATGTCTTGGTTGTAACCTCAATAACATTTTTTTAATGTTCATAGCACCCAATTACATCATTTTTTAACTTCTATGAAATAGAAATGAAAAACCTACTTGGCCCTGGCACATAGTCGGCACTCTGCACACCAGATGCTACTAATAGTTTGTTTGCCTATTAAATTTTCTTCTCTTCGAGAAAATAAAATTAGCATTCAGTAAATGTTGAATGAATAGATAGATGGAGATTTTCTTTTGGTTTCTAATTCCTTACCCAGGCTTTTTTTCTTTTTCTTTTTTTTTTTTTTTTTTTTGAGACGGAGTTTCGCTCTTGTTACCCAGGCTGGAGTGCAATGGCGCGATCTTGGCTCACCGCAACCTCCGCCTCCTGGGCTCAGGCAATTCTCCTGTCTCGGCCTCCTGAGTAGCTGGGATTACAGGCACGCGCCACCATGCCCAGCTAATTTTTTGTATTTTTAGTAGAGACGGGGTTTCACTATGTTGACCAGGATGGTCTCGATCTCTTGACCTCGTGATCCACCCGCCTCGGCCTCCCAAAGTGCTGGGATTACAGGCTTGAGCCACCGCGCCCGGCTTACCCAGGCTTTTTATGGGCAGGTTTGTTTTGGGTTTTTTTGTTGGTTTGTTTTTGTTTTTGTTTTTTTTTCAGAAGAGGGTCTTGCTGTGTCAATCAAGGCCAGCTCACTGCAGCCTAGACCTCCTGGGTTCAAGAGATCCTCCTTCCTCCGCCTCCCAAGTAACTGGGACCACAGGTGCTTATCATGCACGTTGGAGCACTACTACATTTGGCCAACTTTTTTTTTTTTTTTTTTTTTTTTTTGTAGAGATGGGGTTTCACCATGTTGCCCAGGCTGGTCTCGAACTCCTGGACACAAGCAGTCCTCGTGCCTCAGCCTCCCAAAGTACTGGGATTATAGGCGTGAGCCACCACTCCCAGCTTATGGGCATGTTTATTTCAAGAGTCCACAAAATCACTCCCACATCCCTTGGCTGAATAATAATTACTTTATCTTTGTTCAGGGAGCATTAACCAAGGGATTCTGTCCTTTCCTTGAAGATAATGGGTAAGGATGGGCGTGGTGGCTCACGCCTGTAATCCAAGCACTTTGAAGGCCAAGGTGGGCAGATCACCTGAGGTCGGGAGTTCAAGACCAGCCTGACCAACATGGTGAAACCCTGTCTTTATACAAATAAATAAATAAATAAAATAAATAAAGATAATGGGTAAGTAGTACATTTAAATTTGTTTAAACAAATTATACTTGGCCTAGCACAGTGGACCATGCTTGTAATCTTGGCACTCTGGGAGGCAGAGGTGGGCAGATCACCTGAGGTCAGGAGTTCGAGACCAGCCTAAACAACATGGTGAAACCCCGTATCTACTAAAAATACAAAAAATTAGCCACGTATGGTGATGGGCACCTGTAATCCCAGCTACTGAGGAGGCTGAGGCAGGAGAATTGCTTAAACCTGTTGTTTAAATCCAGGAGGCGGAGGTTGCAGTGAGCCGAGATCGCACCATTGCACTCCAGCCTGGGCAACAAGAGCAAAACTCTGTCTCAAAAAAAAAAAAAAAATTAACACATTATTCCATTTAAGTACATTTCCAGAAGTCGTACAAGAAGCCAGGGCATGGTGGTAGACACCTGTAACTCGTAGCTACTCAGGAGGCAGGATGATCACTTGAGTCCAGCAGTTCAAAGCTACAGTGAGCTATGATTGTGCCACGGCACTCCACCCTGGGTGACAGAGTAAGACTGTCTCTAAAAAAAAAACAAGTCCCGTAAGAAAACACTAATACGTTATTTATTCATCTTGCTAAGCCAGAAACCTAGAAGGCATTGTTTTGCTTGTTTGTTTGTTTTGAGACAGAGTCTTACTCTGTCCCAACACTGGAGGGCAGTGCAGTGGCACAACCTTGGCTCACTGCAACCTCTGCCTCCCAGGTTCAAGCAATTCTCCTGCCTCAGCCTCCCCAGTAACTGGATTACAGGTGTGCACCACCAGGCCTGGCTAATTTTTGTATGTTTTTAGTAGACGCTGGTTTTCACCGTGTTGGTCAGGTAAGGCAATTCACCTGTCTCGGCCTCCCGAAGCGCTAGATGTGAGCCGCCATACCCAGCCACTGGGAGGCATTGTTGACATGTTCTTACCCACTATCCAGTTGATAACAAACTTCGTTGCTTCTCTCCTTGACATCTTTGGGCCCAGCACTTTCCTTCCTTGCCCTCTATCATTACTTCATTGAGACTCTACGCTCTGAACTGTGACCTTCCATCTGGGTCGTCTTGGCTCCTGTCCAGCCCTCTTCAGTCCCATCCATCCACTGCAGCAAGAGAAATCCTTCCCAAGTACAAATCTGATTAAGTCAAGCCCCTGATTAAAACTACAGTTGTTCCTCAGTACTTTGAAGACAAAAATTAAAACCCTGCCAGGAAATATAAGACAGAAAGAACTGGGTCCCTGCCAACCCCACTCCTCCCTTCATTTCCTATATTCTAGGCATTCAGAACTACCTACAGTTTCTTGAATCTCTAGAGAACTTTCCATGTCGTTAAACATGCTTTCTCTGCTGTCAAGAAAGCGTTTGGGGCTGGGCACAGTGGCTCATGCCTGTAATCCCAGCACTTTGGAAGGCTGAGGCAGGCAGATCACGAGGTCAGGAGTTTGAGACCAGCCTGACAAATATGGCAAAACCCTGTCTCTACTGAAATATACAAAAATTAGCTGGGCGTAATGGCACATGTCTGTAATCCCAGCTACTCAGGAGGCTGAGTCAGGAGAATTGCTTGAACCCGGGCGGCAGAGGTTGCAGTGAGCTGAGATCATGTCACTGCACTCCAACCTGGTAACAGAGCAAGACTCTCAAAAAAAAAAAAAAAAAAAAAAAAAAAAAAAAAAAAAAAAAGGACGTCCATTCTCCCTAACTGTCATATATATTCAACACAATTCCTATAAAAATGCTGGCAGTTTTTTGGGAAGAAGTAGGCAAACGATTCTAAAGTGCATATGAAAAGGATATAAAATAGAAAAAAAAAAAAAAAAACTTGAAAAATAATAGAGTCCAGGCTGGGCGTGGTGGCTCACACCTGTAATCCAAGCACTTTGGAGGCCAAGGCGGGCAGATCACCTGAGGTCAGGAGTTCAAGACCAGCCTGACCAACATGATGAAACCCCTGTCTTAAAAAAAAAAAAACAGTCAAAGGATTTGTATAACCTTTTAATGCTTACCATTAAATGACAGTAATTGGGGAGAGGAAATGACAGTAATCAGGGTGTAGTGGCACGCACCTGTAGTCCCAGCTGCTTGAGAGGTTAAGGCACGAGAATCGCTTGAACCCAGGAGGTGGAGATTGCAGTGAACTGAAGTTGCGCCAGTGCACTCCAGCCTGGGTGACAGAGCAAGACTTTGTTTCAAAAAAAAAATGACAGTAATCAGGACAGTGTAACATTTGTGTAAGGATAGATAAATTGATCAATGGAACAGAATGGAGCACCCAGAAATAGACTCACACTTCATGGTTATTTATTTTCAACAAAGACACCAGAGCAATCCAATGAAGAAAGGACAAGTGCTTTTTAACTAATGGTCCTGGAATAAAAGAGTATCCATATGGGCAAAAATGAACCAGGACTCCTACCTACATCATACACAAAGATTAATTCAAGATGGATTATAGACTTTTTTTTTCTTTTTTGAGACGGAGTCTCACTCTGTCTCCCAGGCTGGAATGCAGTGGCGTGATCTTAGCTCACTTAGATCAACCTCTACCTCCCGAATTCAGCCGATTCTCCTGTGTCAGCCTCCGGAGTAGCTGGGACTACAGGCATGTGCCACCACACCCTGCTAATTTTTTATTTTTTGTGGAGATGGGGTTTCACCAGGTTTGCAGGCTGGTCTCCTGACCTCAGGTAATCTGCCTGCTTCAGCCTCCCA